AAAAAAAAAAAAAAAAAAAAAATTTGTTGGGCATCTAGTAGACAAGATTTTGGGACCAGAGAGTAGATCAGTGAAAAAACACAGACAAAAATCCCTACCCTTGGGGAGCTGACAGTCTAGTTGGGTGTGACAATAAATAGTAAGCACAATAAATTATTAAAAATAAGTAAATTTTTCTGTTAGACGGTGGGCTGAGTGCGGTGGCTCATGCCTATAATCCCAGCACTTAGGGAGGCCAAGGCTGGCAGATCGCTTGAGCCCAGGAGTTTGAAACCAGCCTGGGCAGCATGGCAAAGCCTGCCGCTACAAAAAATACAAAAATTAGTTGGGTGTGGTGGTGCATACCTATAGTCCCAGCTACTTAGGAGGCTGAGGGGGGAGGATCACTTAAGCCCAGTAGGTAACAGCAGTGAGCTGTGATCAAGCCACTGTGCTCCAGCCTAGGTGACAGAACAAGACCCTGCCTCCAAAAAAAAAGGAGGAAGTAAGGAAGGAAGGAGGGAAGGAGGGAAGAGGGGAAGGAGGGAAGGAGGGAAGAGGGGAAGGAGGGAAGGAGGGAAGGAGAAGGAGGGAGGGAGGGAGGGAAAGAAAGAAAAAAGAAGAGTGAAAGTTGGCTGGGTGCGGTGGCTCACACCTGTAATCTCAGCACTTTGGGAGGCCAAGACAGGCGGATCACAAGGTCAGGAGTTTGAGACCAGCCTGGCTAACATGGTAAAACCCCGTTTCTACTAAAAATACAAAAAATTACCCAGGCGTGGTGGCACGCGCCTGTAATCCCAGCTACTCGGGAGGCTGAGGCAGGAGAATCTTGAACCTGGGAGGAGGAGGTTGCAGTGAGCCGAGATCACGCCGTTGCACTCCAGCCTGGGCAACAAGAACAAAACTTTGTCTCAAAAAAAAGAGGGGGGATGTTATAAGTGCTATGGGGAAGGAAATCAAGTATGATAAGGGCATCAGGGGTACAAGGGTGAGGGCAGGTTGCAGTCCTAAATAGGGAGGTCAGGGTAGCCGTTATTAAGAAAATGAGGCCTAAGGGAAGACTTGAAGGAGATGAGAGAATTCGCCATGCAGAGATCTAGGGGAAGAGAATTCCAGGAGGAAGGAACAGTCAGTGCCAACGCCTAAGTCAAAGAGGTTAGCAGAGCCAGAAACTATCAAGAGGGAAGAGTGGGCAGACATGAAGAGACTGTGCGGGAGAGGAAGATCAGGTGGGGTTTTGTAGGCCAGTGTTAGAATTTGAGTTGTGATTTCCTCCCAGTAAAATGAGAAACTACTGCAGGGTTTTGAGCAGGGGAATGACAAGCTCTTACTTACGTTTTAATAGAATCTCCCCTCCCCTGCCGCTGTACTGAAAATAGATGGGGGTGGGGGAAGGGTGCCCCTGCAGTATTTCTGGTTCAGAACAGTTGGCGGCAGTGAGGTGGTGAGAAGTGGTCAGATTCTGAATGTATTTTGCGGGTAGAGCCGAAAGGATTTGCTGATTGATTAGATATGGGGTAGGGAGTGAGGGCAAGAAGGAAAGGAGTCAAAGGTGACGAGTGACTGAGGTTTTTGGCAGGAGGAACTGGAATGATGCATTATCCACTGAGCAGGAAAGACTGTGGTGGAGCCAGGCACGGTGGCTCACGCCTGTAATCCCAGCACTTTGGGAGGCTGAGGCGGGCGGATCATGAGGTCAAGAGATCGAGACCATCCTGGCCAACATGGCGAAACCGTGTCTCTACTAAAAATACAAAAATTAGCTGGGTGTGGTGGCATGCGCCTATAGTCCCAGCTACTCGGGATGCT